GTGCTGGGCCACCTTTCCCTGAGCAGTGTCCCGGGATGCCACATGTCCCGTCCATCCAGGTGACTGGAGCTCTGGCGGAGCCCAGGAAGGAAAACAGACCTGACCCGCTTGTGTCCCAAACCAGGGGCACGCATGCCGGGGGGAAGGTCAGACTGGATGGGAAGCCCCCCAGGGAAGGGTGAAGACTCACCCCCACCAGGGAAAAGGAAGCCATGTGAGGACCCCCCCACCCCCACCCCCCGCCTCTGCCCAGGGAAGGTCAGGCTGGGCGAGGGAGTGTAATTCGCCTGGGCTGGAGCAGGAGCGTCTGAGGCCAAGACCGTGAGGTTAGGGAGGCTGTCCTCGGCTGGGAGAGGGGAGACCTTTCTCCGGGCAAATGAGGGTCTGGTGGGGGTGGGGGGGACTTCTGCGACGCCGGTTCCTGCACTAGGTTTGACCGCAGGGGCAGCTCTGGAGTCTGGTGGCCCGGGTTTCCTCCTTCCCTGGAGCTTGGGTGGGTCTGTCCTGAAAGGTGCTGGGTGATCCTAATAACGATGCTGGGGTTTCCTGCAGAGGTGAGGGCGGTGGGACACCCTTGCCTACTGCTGGCGGGGGCAGCCCCCAGGCCGGCGGGTCAAGCACTTGGGGACCTGGGAAGGGTTCCTGGCTCTCTGGGCTGCAGGAACCTCTACCTTGGCGCCTGGACCCCTGTCTGGGCCCTGTGCCTGTCCCCGGGGGGTGGGGCCCCAGGTCCTAGCCGCCCCCAAGATCCCTGGGCACTGCCTTTCTTACCCTGTTCCTTCCCCGGGTGCGATGTCGCTGCCACGCAGGTGACAGTTGTTATGGAGGGGGCAGGGGCCTAGGGAGGGCCAGGCTTGCCCCAGAGCAGGCCGGTGCTGGCCTTCTGCTCAGAGCCCTGTGGCCTTTCCCCGAACTGCCGGTTCCCCACAGCCCTGCCCCTCCTCCCCACTGACCCCGGGGACTGGTTTGGCACCCTGCAAGCCCCGATGGCAGAGGGCACAGAGAGCTGGGGATGACGCCCTGCCAGGGTGCATGCCTGGCCGGAGGTCTCGGCCCGCCCTCTAGGCCCATATTAGGGAGCAGTGCATGCAGGGCAGCAGGAAGTGGCCCAGGCCCTGTGGGAAAGGTTCTCAGGGCCCGAGGCACAGCCCAGGCCTGGCCGGCACAGGGGTGGCTTCCCGGTCCGGGGACTGGGAGGAACTCAGAGCTCTGTTTTTGGCCGGGAGAGTCTACAGCAGCAGCTCGGAAAGACAGGGGTGAGTGGAAAGGGGAGCAGAGGTGGGGGGACCCACCTGGGGCTCTGTGTCAGAGTGCAGGTCCACGGGTGTGACTGTGTGTCCACACGTCCAGCTGGACCACAGCCTCTGAGTCCCCCAGCCAGCTTGTCCACCTGCCCGGGTCTCAGCAGCCCGTGAAGTTACTCGGGATAGTCACGGTGTGGCCGATGCCGGACTCTGTCACTTGACTTCCCCTCCCTACGGAGGGTCAGTGACCGAGTGCAGATTCTTTCCTGAGGCTTCTCTTTGGGCTCCCCGAGGACGCAGGGTTTTGTGGGCTGTCCCCAAGTGACTTCTGCCTCCAGGGGGCGGCGGTGCTTGTGTTCTCCTCCCAGACAAGCCCCCGGTTTTCTGAAACGGGGGGGTCTGCCTGAGCGTGTCCAGACCACGGGGCGGGAAGGGCGTGTACCTGACTGTGACGCGCCCCCGTGCACACCCCTGTGTTCCGCGTAGGAGCGCTGTGCTGGACGGAGTGGGGGCACCCGGACTGTGCAGGAGGGCCCTGCCCCTGCCTGGGGCTGGAGAGGGGGGCGATGGGGTGTGTGCGAGTCTCTGGGTGGAGCCCCAAGATGGGTGTTGGCCCAGGAGCAGCCTCTGATCACACAGGTATTTTTAAAGTCGTCTTGGGAATTCTTTAGTGTGCGCGCACACGT